CCTTTTCAAGATGAGCTTTGGCAAAAGTTTTTCCTTATAATTCTGTGTTCTTATTTCAGTTTAAGTGGAAATTGGTTTTATAACTCTGTCTTGAAGATTAAATCAACACACTCACACTCCATCCCTCTTTCTGTCTTTCAGATTACTTACAACAATGTGAAGATTTAAGGTGAAGGAGGAAATTCTAAAATGGAATTTAAGTGACTTGTAGAATGCTCTGTGTTCATGAGTACAGAAGGCTACTGAGTGGAAAAGAACTTGTTTAAAATTTAAGGCAATTAATTTGAAGACCAACAAACCAGCTGTAAGCTGCATATCTGAATTTATTTTAAAAGACTTAGCAGAAGTTAAGAATTGGAAAATTTTTCTGAAGCATTTCATTTGAGAGACAGAGAAAGAGACCATGAGACAGAGAGCATGAGCCGGGGTGGGGGGGGGCAGTGCGGAGAGGCAGTAGCAGACTCCTCGCTGAACAGGGAGCCCGATATGGGACTTGATCTCAGGACCCTGGGATCATGATCTGAGCAGAAGGCAGATGCTTAACCAACTGAGCCACATAGGCACCAGAAATGAAAAATTTCTTTAGACTTTGGCAAGCTACACTATAATTCCAATCATTGTTTTAGTATTTTCCGATTACCTGTAACTGACAGACCAAGTTAACTGGCTTTGCATCCCATTTAATCCATCAGTTATTTTCCAGCCATGAGGAATGCCCAAAGTAAGCACAATAAAAGCCACAGGTACACAATAATATTCTACTTGTCTTTTTTTTTTTTTTTTTAGATTTTATTTATTCATTTGACATAGTTCACAAGTAGGCAGAGAGGCAGGCAGAGAGAGAGGGAAGCAGGCTCCCCACTGAGCAGAGAGCCCGATATGGGGCTCGATCCCAGGACACTGGGATCATGACCTGAGCCGAGGGCAGAAACCCAACCCACTGAGCCACCCAAGCGCCCCTCTACTTGTCTTCTTGAGAAGTCTCTGATTTCTGTGTTCTTAGCTCAAATCAAACTTGCTTTGTATTACAAGTGAATTGCATCTCTGCTAGCTTGGTTCTTCCTACATCATTAAGAAGAAGACAAGCGTTCCTCATAGATTTCCTCTAGGAGACTAGCTCTACTATAAGCTTCCCACTGTGACTTCTATTTTGAAAATTATTAAACAGCCACATCTATTTAACAGTCATCTCCATTCTTGGCCACTCCAACATATGTCTGGTTTTAGAAACCTTTGTTTCTCTAAGCAGTGCCTTGGTCATATGTAATAGTATTTTTTGATGCCAAAGTATTCAGTCTCATCTCTGTTATCATGTCCTACCACTTTGTTCCTCCCATGCCATCAACAAATGAGCCTCAGAGCCCCTATCCATTTGTTAAAGAGACAACTACAGATAAAATCACTGTTAAAATCTTGCTACTTCATAGGCTGATTTCTAAAACCGTGTTTCTTCCTCCTGAGTCTGTGTAAATATCTTTTTATCCTTCAAATTTTTCTGTGTTAAAATTCTAACATGAATCCCGGATAGCTCTCTAGGGTACAATGAGGTCCAGTGAAAGACATTACTTTGAAAACAAACACTATGTGACCCCTGACAATTCTTTTTCTAAATACCAACTTCCTGGAAAAATCAGTATGTCAGTTATTGTACATGACTGCTTGGTGAAATGTGCAAATGACATCACATATGATAATTTGATAATTTCCTCTGGTCTATTCTGTTATTAAAAGCATACTGTATTATAGACCTATTAAAATATTTTAAATATATAGAGAAGTATTATTTCTATAAGATAAACTGAAGAAATATATTTAGGTAATATACACATTAATACTTGGAAAGCTCTGCTTTGACACGGACAAAGTCTAAATTAATTAGCAAATTTATCCCAGTGAGCAATAAATCAGTGGAACATTCCAAGAAGAGAGAAGGACACTTAAAATGCAAATAGTTCTCCAAAGTATACAATTCAACTAGTGGATACATTACCAATTCAACTAGTGGATACATTACCCACCGCCCCAACTTGAAATTCTCACATTCAACCCTTAAGAGTTCTTAATTTATAACTAATTTTTAAATGAGAAGTTTCTCTTATGGTTTCAGTTTAAGAGTTATCAGTTACTAGAAAATGCAATGTGGGGACCAGGGGCCCCTGGGTGGCTTAGTTGGTTAACTTGATTTTGGCACAGGTCATGATCTCAGGGTCATGAGATCAAGCCCCATATCAGGCTCCATATTGGGCATGAAGCCTACTTAAGATTCTCTCTCTCCCTCACTCCCCCTCTCTGTAAAATTAAAAAAAAAAAAAAAAAAAAAAAAGCAATGTGGTTTACACAAACAAAACAGCCTTGGCCTCCTCCTTGAGGGTAGTGCAGAGACTGGCAATATAAGCAGGTGTAGCCACTTAAGTCCTGTCAAGACATAGTCATGCCATCACACATTTCACTTCTCAAGAATTTAGTAACCATGAAGATTCCATGTTCCTATTCTGATACTCAGACGTACCTGATGATGCTGATGTACTTACAAACACAGGAATAATCTCTGCTATTATTGTACAAAGCCACAGTGTACATAAATTATATTTAAAAAGAAAAAAGTAAAACTATCACTCTTTGCAAATGACATTATCCCCCCATACACACACACCACCCGAAAAAGTCCACCAAAACCCTACTAGAAGTAATAAATGAATTCAGTAAAGTTGTAGGATACAAAAGCAATACAGAAATCTGTTGCATTTCTATACACTAATAAAGAACTAGAAGAAAAGAGAAATTAAAAAAAACAATCCTAAGAGTTCCTGGGTGGCTCAGTTGTTAAGCGTCTGCTTTTGGCTCAGGTCATGGTCCCAGGATCCTGGGATCAAGCCCCATATTGGGCTCCCTGCTCATTGGGAAGCCTGCTTCTCCCTCTCCCATTCTCCCTGCTTATGTTCCCTCTCTCGATGCCTCTCTCTGTTAAATAAACAAAATCTTTTTTTTTTAAATCCCATTTAAACTTACACCAAAAAGGATAAAATCCTAAGGAATAAACTTCACCAAGGAGATGAAAGACATATACTCTGAACCCTGTAAGACACTGATGAAGAAACTGAAGATGACACAAAAAAATGGAAAGATACTCCATGCTTGTGGATTAGAAGAACTGTTAAAATATCTACACTACCTCAGTAATCCCTACCAAAATATTAATAGTAATTTTTCACAGAACTAGAACAAAGAATCCTAAAATTTATATGGACTCACAAAAAACCCCAAATAGCCAAAACAATCTATTTATTTATTTATTATTTAAGTAATCTCTGCACCCAGTGTGGAGCCTGAGCTCATGACCCCATGATCAAGAGTCACATACTCTATCAACTGAGCTAGCCAGGCACCCCTAGCCAAGAAAATCTTGAAGAAGAACAACAAAGCTGGAGGCATCAAAATCCCAGATGTCACATTATAAAGCTACAGTAATCAAAGCAGTATGGTACTGGCACAAAAACAGACACACATATCAATGGAACAGAATGAAGAGCCCAGAAATAAACCCACTCTTACATGGTCAATTAATCTATGACAAAGGTGACAAGAATATACAATGAAGAAAAGACAGTCTCTTCAATAAGTGGTGTTTAAAAAAACCGAACAGCAAAATAATGAAACTGGCCCATTTTCTTACATCAAACATAAAAATAAACTAAAAATAGATTAAAGATGTACATGTGATATCTGAAACCATAAAACTCCTAAAAGAAAACATAGGCAGTAATACCCTGGACATTAGTCTTAGAAATATTTTTCTGGATCTATTTCCTCAGGCAAGGAAAACAAAAGCAAAAATAAACTATTCGGATTACATCAAACTAAAAAGCTTTTGCCCGGGGGTCGGGGGGGGGGAATCAACAAAACCAAAGGCAATCTATTGAATGGGAGAAGATATTTACAAATGATATATCCAATAAGGAGTTCATATCCAAAGTATAAAAGAACGTATACAACTCAACACCAAAAAAACCCAAATAATCCCATTAAAAAATGGGCAGAAGACCTGAATCACCATTTTTCCAAAGAAGACAGAGAGATGGCCAACAGACACGTAAAAAGATACTCAACATCAATAATCATCAAGGAAGTGCAAATTAAAACAACAATGAAATAGCCCCTTACACCTGTCAGAAGGACTAGTATCAAAAAGACAAAATATAACAAGGGTTGGCAAGAATCTGAAGAAAAGGAAACCCTTGGGCATCACTGGTGGGAACACAAACTGGCACATCCACTACGGAAAACAGTACAGAGGATCCTCCATAAATTAAAAATAGAAATATCATACAACCCAGTAATTCTACTTCTAGGTATCTACAGAGAGAAAAATACTAATTCATTACATATATGCCCCCCCCATGTTTAATACAGTATTATTTATAATAACCAAGAAATGGAAACAACCTAAATGAACATCCATGATACATGAATGGATAAAGAGATGTGATATATACACACAGTGGAATATTACTCAACCATAAAAGAGAATGAAATCTTGCCATTGACAACAACATGGATGGATCTAGAGGGTATTATGCTAAGTGAGTAAGAGGGAGAAAAAGACAAATAACATGATAGGACTTATACGTGGAATCTTAAAAACAAAACGAACCAAAAAAAAAAAACAAAACCAAAAACAGAAACAGACTCATAAATATAGAGAATTGATGGTTGCCAGAGGGGAGACGGTTGGAGGGACAAGCAAAATAGGTGAAGAGGATTAAAAGGTACAAGTTTCCAATTATAAAATAAATAAGTCACAGGGACGGAAAGTACAGCACAGGGGACATAGTAATATTGTAATAACTTTGTATAGTGACAGATGGTAGTTACATCTCTCATGGTAAACACTTCATAATATATGTAATTTTTTGAATCACTATATTATATGCCTGAAACAACATAATATTGTATGTCAACTATACTCCAATTTTTAAAAAAAGAAAAAAGTTTTCACTGACCTGGTGCAACTACATTCACTCTAATTTTCTTTCTTGCTACTTCTTTAGCAAGAGCGCGTGAAAATCCAACTAGTCCTCCTTTACCTGCACTGTACACAGACTGGCCAGAATTGCCTTTTAAACCAATAATACTTCCTAGAAAAAAATAAAAGCAAATTCAAACCAATTAATGGGTTATTTCAATATTTAGATAATTTAGAGTAAACAAAAAGGTACAAACCAGTTTACCTTGCCCTTTGAGAAAATTAGGAATTCTTAGTACTGTCATTTGAGTAGTAAGACTTAGGGTTTAAGTCTTCTCCAGATACAAACAGAAAACAGGTTCTGAAAGAAGCTTATGTAAAACCTCAAATGTCAGGAAGGGGCTTGAGAACTGATCCATCAAGTGAAAGAAACCCACTCTCATCTGTGAGTAGGTCAGACATGGCGAAGTCCTATAGTATTTATAAAAAGTGCCAGTAGGAAGAGGTTAGAACCACAAAAAATCAGATAAAGGCTGATTAATTTTATGGTTCTACAACACAAAGATGAGGAGGTATTCATTTCCACCTAAAAAATAATTCATCTGAAGATAAATCTCACTAAATCTGAACTACCATCAATCTAAAATAACAAAGGTTCAATTATAAACTTTTTGTAAAACTGCAATTTAGTTACCTTCAATGATGTATCATAACTTGTACTGACTACTAAAGATTCTTGGGTGGTCTCATTTATATGAATATGAAATAATTTATAATTTAACTATCAACTGAATGCAAATGTTTATTCTTGCAAAACAGAAACGGGGAAGTGATTTTCTGCACCAGTGACCTGTACTTACAATATAAAAATTAATCAAAAGCTTCACAAAATCTTTGAAAAAGTAATTTTATTTTAGGGAAAAAAAAAAAAACCAAAACACTTTTATATATATTATCATCAACAAGTTCAAAATTAAAATATCTGCCTTATATATTCAATGCCAGGGAATGACAAAGGAAGAGAACTGTGAAGCACAGAGAGAGAAACACCAGACAGAGGAAACACAGATAGACAGAAAAAGGGGTATCCAGGAGAAAGAGAAATCCAGAGAAACAAAAAAGAAAGAAAAATATAGGCATGGGAGAAAGGCCAAATAGGAAGCTTTGGTTTATACCACACACTACTGTCTATCTAGTCAATAACTGTTAAACTTCTGAACTAATCAATGAACTTACTAGCAGTTTAAAGTAGTCCTTTCTGTAAAAAGATTCTCTGATTTTTAATTATTTTTATTTACTTTTAGCACAATTCTAAAAGTTCTGCAAGTACACAAAGGACTGATGTAGGTTTTTTAAATGTATCTAAAAAGGGATATTTTAGAGTTAAATACACCTACATCAGGTGGTGTATAGGGGCCAGTACACCAGCTTCTGAGAACCCAAAATCATTACCTGGCTGTGTTAGGAGGCAAAGGTCGACTCATCTTTTACTTTTTAATCATTTACTGATCTTTTTTAAGAAAATTCATTCCTTACATTTTTAAGGGTAAATGTCAAAAATGTTCTAATTCTCATTAGCACAGTATTCTTTTCTTATTTTCAAAAGAGAAAAACCATACATTTTGGCTTGGAAAGCCATTTCCTATATTAAAAATAGGGTCATTTACTTTAACAGAGCAGGATTCCCCTTATGCGGCTTTTTAAGATATTATCACTTAAAATTAAAAGGCAGATGATATGCCGCTATTTTCAAATTACCAAACTGGAATAGAACTGTAAGTCGCTTTGCATTTTAAGGTCTACAAGCACATACTACATGGTCTACCTGCCCCATGGGTCAGATGAACTGAAGACTAGGGGTTACTTACATTCATTCTAAAAAACTGAAAAGCTTATTCCCCTAAGAAAACTTCCTCCTAAACCTCTGTACTAGATTTATTAGTGACACATGCAATTGCTGTAGAGATCATTTTTTAGTCCCCACTACCCAAAATTTTTCAATTCTTTATCCATATTTTAAAAATCAGGTTTTACATGAAATTCACTTTCTCTTAAAAAGTCAAATGGCTGGCAAAACTGAGACCAGATCTGTGTGTAGGAATAATCAACTGGATCTAAACAGTGGCTGCCACTTGACATGGCTTCTGGACAATGAAGCTGGGCATCTTTTGTCATAGATCATATTTTCGAATACCTGGTGGTATCATTCAATTCACATCTGCTTCAGCATTACAAGAATGAATTTGTGGTTCCTAATTTACCCACTAATTGGTTAATCAAGTCCTTCTTTCCATAAATAGTAAAAAGACCCATTTCATCCAAGTTTCACACATGAATAAACTCCAAATTAGTCAATTAAATATTTTTATGGTACTATGAGATAAGTCTAATTTCACAGGTTAAGACTCACCTACATTAACAATAGACCCTCTCTGCTGTTGAATCATAGTCTTCAAGGCAACTTTACAAGTCAGCATGGAACCCAAGAGGTTAGTATGAAGCTGAGATATCATATCTTCAGTTTTTGTTCTTACTAAAAGGCTATCCCTACAAAAAACAAATAAATAAAATTTAAAAAACAGTAGCATATAAATTAAAAATGGGATAAAACCAATTTAAAAAGTCAAAAATGTATAACATTTTAACTGAAAGTAGAGTATTAGGAATATATGTGAGCTAGAATACCCACAGAGTCCCATTTTAATCTATATTTGAAGGGAATTGACATAACTGATACATGAGAAAAGATAGACCTAGAAGTAGGGTTCAGAAGCAAATATTCCTAACTACTAAAAGTAATGCCATATAACCAAAATAGCTTGAATGAACTAAGCAACTGTCATTATAGTAAGCTCTGTTTAGCAAGAAAATATACTATTCTAAATATTATTCTAAATTCACCTTTAAAAAGAAAATATCTACTCTAATACCATTAAGTTCATGAACTTATACAATGGTGACAGAAGTCAGAATAGTGGTTACCTGTAACATAGTATTAGCTGAGAAGAAACTGAAGGGAGCCTTCTAGAATGCTGGAAAAGTTCTATAGTTCAATATGGGTGTGACTGCAATGTTAAAATTAATCAAACTATACCCTTATTGGTATCTCAACATAAAAGAAAAGAATGTATAAAAAATACACATTTTCTTCCAGTTACAAGTAAAGCAAGTTAATATATTTACTCATACCAAAGACATACTAGGGAAAAAAAAAAAAACATACAGGAAATGTACTTAAATTTGGGACCAACCTGTTAATTCCAGCTGCGTTTACCAAGAAATTAACTCGACCTAAATTTTTTTCCATCTCTTCAAATGTATTTTGAACATCACGTTCTTTGGCAACATCACAGCTAAACGCTAAATGATCTCCTATAGAACAAAGTTAAATTAGCATTACTTATAAATTATAATCTCAATTTAAAAATTATTCAATACACATTTGTTGAGCATCTACTATGACCTAAGCCTGTGATTATTACAATCTAGAGATAAAAGATGATTATGTCATGGATTCCTCCTCTCAAGGAGTTCAGTCCAATAAAACTGGGATGAGGGTGGATGGGGAACAAGGAGAAGATGGGGAACAAGGAGAAGTAAAGAATTAAATCCTAAAAATGTTTTTTTAATGAGGAAAAAAACGGAAGGAGGGCCTTTTTGTATTCATAAGGCTTTGTAAAATTCATATAATATTTCTGGCTTTGATGGCGACCCCATGCTACCCAATTCAACAGTGTTTGGTTTTTTTATTTCTTTTTCGAAATTTATGTCTAATTCCATTACATTTTTGTTAAATGGGTTCCCTGGTCCTGAGAATAAAACCTAGGGGTCTTCCACTTTTTTTTTTTTTTTAACTATGGCACATATATTACAGTAACTATTATTCAAGTCTGACCACTACAAAGCAGGAAGCTATTAAAAAAAAAAGTCAAAACTAAAAAACACATACACACAAACTTTTTACCAAAAACAACTGTTACTTCCCCTTTTTTAAATGCTCACTTTTTGAAGATGTTTAAATACCAAAAGAATACGTGTCAAAGAAAGCATTTTCCATTCAATAATACATAATTGTAATACTCTAAAATGGAGTTTTTAAAAAACTAAACAATTGCTTATTTTCTGGCTGACCTCGCCTAGTAGTGGTCAACGCTAAAATTATACCCTCAGGTCTTTGGAAGCAGTAAGCTTTCTGGGAAGTCACACCTTGTAGGTGTTGGAACACAAATTCAAAGAAGTAAAACGCCCAAAAGCATCTTCTGTGACCCACTGTTGGCTTTCATCTGAAAACTTGTTAGGTTCACAATAACCCTTAGAAGCTCAACCAAGTTTTAATCTATTCCAGCAAACACTAATGGCTTGGGATGACACCATCAGGAAAATCACTTTCTCACTCCTTTGTGACACAGTAAATATGAGTAGCAAGAAGCATTCACTGAAATCCTCCCTGTTCTGTAACTTAAGGGGTTTTCCCCACTCTCTAAAAAGAATCTAATATTTTAACAACCCAAGTGCACAATTAGAGTAAACCAATAGTAACGTTAAAATAACAGCCTCCAGGTTCATCCCCAGGCCTCTTCCCAATGCCTCCCAGATAGTGAACGAAGTGCATTCGTGCCTCCTACTAACTAAATTGCAGCATTCTGGCATCTTTCGTTCATCCTAATTCTCCCTTATAGTTGCAAAATAATGCAAAACAATTACTAATCCATTATTAATAAACCAAAAGATTGGATTTTAAATGCAATAAAAAGGAATCTGAATCAATTTTCCAATTGTAAAAGCCACAAAAACAATGTAATAACCTATTAAGTGGCTACGGATGTAGGAGAGCCAAAAAAAGTTTATCTCAAAATCCGCTAGTACTCAAAAGAGTTTGTCTATAAAACACAGCCTGCAGCCTAAAAACAAAACAAAACAAAACCGAACCGAACACAACAAAACCACAGCCGCAGCAAGACTACAGCGCCGCAAAAACTACAGCGAGGCTTTCAGGCTTGACATGCCTACCCTTCCTGCCTCAACTCCTTTCCGCCCAGCCCTGTTTCCCAGCGGCGCCCGGGACTTCGTGGCACAAGGGTGCCCTTTACCCTGCATAAAAAATTAACTGTTGTGAGTCTCCCTTCTTCCAGACACCAAAACAAAACAACGCAGCACGGTTAGCCCTAGACTCAGGGGGGTGGGTGCTTAATTAGTAGGGCCTCAAAGGACCGCTAAGTCTCAAAGAAAACCCCAAGTGTTCAGTTCCTGGCGACAGGCGGTGTGGGAGGAGACACTGCGGGAAACCGGGTGTTGAGGATTCTCTGCCCAAACAGGTGTCCACACTCAAGACGGGGTGCTCCTGGACGTGGGGAGCTAAACTGCTAACCCGCAGAGCCGTAAACGCCAGACCCTCTCGTTTTATAAAGGAGGAAACTTTAGGCTCTCGGACTGCAGCCACACAACCTGGGCAACTCCATTTCGGTACCTACCGCCGAGCTCACCGGCGGCGGCTTTGGCCACTTCCAGATTTCTGGCGATGATGGCCAGTCGGTAGCCTTTTTGGGCCATTAACTGAGCCACTGCCCTCCCAATGCCTCTAGAGCCTCCGAAGACAGCACAAACTTTGTCCATCTTGGCCCATGGAGACGCAAACTCGGAGGAAAAGAGGGCTAGGAGTGACGGCCCCTTTCCAGATTCTCCCTGGCTTTTAAACCACAGATGCTTCTTAAAAAGCCAAACTGCCGCCAAAGAAAAAAAAATAACACCGCTTTCCACCTCCCGCCGCGGGACTTCGGCAACCCAGTAGGCGGGGGAAGAGGCGCGAAGAGTACGCCGCATACGCATCTACGTCAGCGCGCACAGGCTACCCGGCCCGGAGCCCTAAGGGAGACGCAAGCATGGAAGAGCCCAGGGGGCCTGGGAAGGCCCGGAAGGGCTGCGCTGCATGCTGGGACTTGTAGTCTTCACGAAGGAGCGGAAGAAGCATGGGCTCACTGCTCAGTGGGAAATGTACTCAAGGCAGTGAAGGGGAGTCCGGCTGACCTTCATACCCGTTGGGACATGAGAGTCAGAATTAGAGTTCAGATGAACTACCATTCCAGTTTGCCTGGAACTAATGGGGTTAAAACGCTGGCCTTAAAGTTTTAAAATCATAACAGTCCCGTCAACCCAGATAAATTGATTATGTTAGTTAAAACCCAGGATATACATTATTCAGAGTTCCATTGTCTGCCTTTCATTCAGGAATTGTTTTTGGCTAGAGACTAAATGCTCTGCCTATTGAAGAAGTGACCAAGTATCAGACTCACGCAAAACCTATCCTACCTGTACCTAATCCAAGTTGCAACGGAAATAGATCTCACCCCACCTGAATATTACCATTCATCTCAAAGGGTGTTGCAAAGGCAGATGCCTATCGAGAACACCATATATAGCAGGAACTCAAGAAACGCTGAGTGATTAAATAGTCTTGCAGACCGATGAAACAAGCATGTCTGCTGCAAACAAAAACAGGTTCCTACAATTCTAAAGAGGACGTGCTGAGTGTTGAGAGTTAATAAGCTAAAACTTGAGCGTTTGTTAACAAGGATACTATTAAAAGGAAGCATTTCTCTTTTTTTTTTTTAAGATTTTATTTATTCACTTTGACAGACAGAGCTCACAAATAGGCAGAGAGGCAGGCAGGGAAGCAGGCTCCCCGCGGAGCAGAGAGCCTAATGAGGGACTCAATACCAGGACCCTGAGATCATGACCTGAGCAGAAGGCAGAGGCTCAACCCACTGAGCTATCCAGGTGCCCCAAAAGGAAGCATTTCTTGATAGAGTATCATTGCATTAGAGGATTCAAAAAAGTACAAGTTTCATGGGTCTTGCTTATAAAAAATACACAACCTGGGACAACAGGACCAACACACACAAACACTAGCAAATAGTTGGAAAACCTAAAGTGAAAAATGATATTAACACAAGAGCTCAGAAATAAGAGAGGGAGGTCAACAAAACAAATACAGGAGTGCATGGAAAAGCTGGATTGGAGAACTGGATGCAGTTTGAATAAATGGAGAAGAGCAAAGAAAGAGAGAGGGAGGGAGGGAAAAGAAAATGTAAGCAAATTGGCTGTTATTTTTAAAATATTATTTTTATTTCACCTAGATCCAGAAGGGATTTGAAATGGCTGGCAAAGATACACAAGTAAAACCTCACGGTCTTTAAGATGGCTCCTATCAACAACAACAACAAAAAGAAAGACAATAACAAGTATCAATGAGAACATGGAAAAACTGGCACCCTTCTGTACTGTTGGTGGGAATGTAAACTGGTGCAGTAGCTTTGCAAAAGAGAATGGTGGTTCCTAAAAAAAATTTAAAATAGAATGACTGTATAATACAGTAATTCCATTTCAGGGCATATACTCAAAAGACTGAAGGCATAAGCAGGATATCAAGTGATATTTGTATACCCAGGTTCATAGCAGCGTTATTAACAATAGCTAAAAGGTGAAGCAACCCAAAGGACCTTCAACAAATGGCAGATCAGCAAGATGTGCTACCCACATATAATGCAATATTATTCAGCCTCAATAAGGAAAGAATTTCTGCAATATACTAAAACATAGATGAAACTTGAGGATATTATGCTAAATGAAATAAGCTACAAAAAACAAATATTGTATAATTTCACTTATATGAGGAAGTTAGAATCATAAAGACAGAAAGCCAAATGGTGATTGCCAGATGCTGGGGGAGCTGAATCTGAGAGTTATTATTTAAAGGGTAGAATGTTTCAGTTTTGTAACATGAAAAGTCCCTGAGGGGAATGGTGGTGATGGTTGCAAAATACCGCTGTGCTTAATAGTAGTGAGCTGTACAGTTAAAATGGTTAAGATATGTTGTGTGTATTTTACTGCAATTTCAAAAAAACCTCAGCAATACAAATATTAACATTGAAAACAAGAAAACTGAATACAACTTAAGATTTCTTAATGGAGTTCGTCCCTAAAGTATAAAGCAATATTGTCAAAATACAGTGATTTAAGAGCTCTTTAAACAGTTCTTCTCTGAAGGGTTATACAAAACACCTGATACCAAGTTGTTTACAATTTTTAGAAATTGTTTTATTTTTATCATTTTTATATAACTTTATCTTTTAATTATATAAAACATTTACATGGGTCTTAAGTGTAAACCACAAAACAGGTACTTCAGAGAAGTCTAACTTTCATCCTTGTCCCTGTTTCCTTCCTACCCCTATAAATTGGTATTTTTGTAGAAGATTTTATTTATTCATCTGGGAGAGAGAGAGAGCACATGGGGGGTGGGTTGGAGAGGCAGAGGGAGAGGGAGAAGCAGACTCTTAGCTGAGCAGGGAGCCTAATGTGGGGCTCAATCCTAGGACCCTGAGATCATGACTTGAGCCAAAGACAGATGCTTAACCAACTGAGCCCAACTGAGCCACCAAGGCACCCCTGTAAACTGACATTTTTGTGTTAACTTTTTATGTATCCTCCCATTCTTTATTTTCAAAAATATTAGAAAATGCATATATCTTTCCTATTTCACTCTCTTTCTTAACAAAAGGTTATACACTATAAATATTGTTCCATACCTTGGGTTTTGGGTTTGTTGGGGTTTTTTGCGGAATAGTGGTATATCTTGGCTATCATTCCATAGTTGTGTATGAGATCCTCCTAGTTCCTTTTCACAGCTGCATAGTCCACCATTATGGTAATTGATTGATTGATCTCCCCTAAGGTCCTCCCCCTCCCCTCCACTAACCTAGGAACCACTGAGAAAGGAATTTGAAAATGTAATTAAATCCCAATTCAATTAGCCTTTAAATATGTAATTTATCCAGGTGAGCCTAATCTCATCAGGTGAAACCATTAAAAGCACAGCATTTTTTTTTTTTTTCCTGCTGATGGCAGAAGAAAATCCAAAACATCTGAAACATGATGGGGATTCAGGGCATGAGAGGCCTTGCTACTGGCCTCAGATAGAAGGCAAATAGTCACACTGTGAACTGCTGGTGGGGAGGGAGAGCTTCTAGAGTGTAAGAGCAATCCACAGTTAAGAACCGGTAGAATAAAAGGACCTCAGTCCCACAGGTGCAACGAAGTGAATTCTGCCAACAATCAGTGAGCTGGAAGAACCCCAAGCCCTAGCTGAGTACTGCCGCCCAAGCCCACACCTTGACATCAAGTCTGAGCAGAGGATCTAGCTACATGGTACCCAGACTCCTGACTCATGGAAAATGTCGGATTAATATGTGTTGTCTTTTTAAAAAGCAATACATGAGTAAATGATTTTATTGTTTTTAATTTTATATTTTGGGGAGTAAATAATTTTAAAAGATAGAGGACCACCCTCATCCCCCCAATGCCAGAACAAGAACATGAAGTCAGCTGAAAAGTTATACAAATAAAGTCATTTGTATTCAGTACTAAGAATCTATTCAGTACTAAAGAAAAGTTGTATATGTGATTCTGAGTTTCCTAGTGGTTAAAGCAACTAAGGAAACATGATTAGTTACAAGTAGTAATTTTCCAAAGGGAAATTTCCTCCTCATAGATCCACATAAAGGGCACCTTAAGCGTTATAGTGGACTTTGTCACCATATATAAATATACATATATGTGTGTGTGTATACACACACACACACACACACACACACACTCTCTCTCGAAAACACACATATCTTTCCTATTTCAAATACTGTTCCACACCTTGGTTTGTTTTTGTTTTTGTTTCAGAATAATAACACATCATGACTCAGTGGTTAAAGCCTCTGCCTTCTGCTTGGGTCATGATCCCAGGGTCCTGGATGGAGCACCGCATCAGGCTCTCTGCTCAGCGGGGAGCCTGCTTCCCCTCCTCTCTCTCTGCCTGCCTCTCCGCCTACCTGTGATCTCTGTCTGTCAAATAAATAAATACAATCTTAAAAAAAAAAAGAATAGTACATCTTGGAGATCATTCCATTGCTGTTTACTGAGATCCTCCTTGTTCCTTTTCACAGCTGTATAGTCCACCATTATGGGGATTATGGTGTGTGTCTGTATGTGTGTGTATTAAGCATATGGTAAATATAGTATATGGTAAGTCAGTATATGTGTGTGTGTGTATACATACACAGTAAGGCCATTTTTATAGTATCTATTGTTGTAAACAGAGGACAAAACACCAAGCAGAATTTTAAGAAAGTGAATACTACCAGAAGTTAAATGACATAAGCAAACATTCAAAGACACAAGAATAAGTCTTTGTATATCTGAAACAATGAGGAAATAATCCCGATTACCAGAAAATTGGGATGATGCTGGATTAGAGCAGGATTTAAAGCCAGGTGCGGGCATTAAATAATCACTTTAAGCAGAAGTCACAAGATAAAAGCTGCACTTAAAAACAAATACTCTAGCAATGATATCAGGATGGGTTGTCTGATTTGACTAAGCCCCTCTTTCACTACACACTCATCATATGCAATCTTGGAAAGGACACACTTTTTTAGGCAAATTACCAATATGTGGTTCAGCCCAAATGCCAGCTGTATTCTTGGCATTCAGCATCATAGAGCAGTCCACAGAGGTTCAACGTTTGTGGAGAGTCCTGTCAATTTCACAGGAAAAGGCTTATATTTTTTCTACACATTGTTATTTCAGCAAAAAGCATGTTTTTAGATCTATTCCATCATTGTCAAAGATCATTAACACACAATGGGAGTTGACATTCCGAGTTCTCAAAACCTTCCAATTTTTCTCCACTGAGCATATATGGTAATAGTTAGGTGGAGCTTT